GCGGAGCCCCCCACAGGCGGGGGCCCCCGCCAGCCGATTCTTTTTAAAAATGTAAAGAGCCGTTATCTGCCTTTAGTAACGGAGTATTCTCAGAAGTACAAGTACTCCTCCTGAAAATTCCCAGTATCATACCTAATACCGATACTAGTATCGGTATCAGGACATCCTTACTTTTTAGGGTTTTGACAGGCGTCAACCTTTTTCACCCAGCAGCGCGCTTCCACAGCTAACATGTATAAAGGCCTGTGCTAAGTTGAGACTAATAACTATTTATATATATTTATTAATGAGGTCTGGCTATCGGGTATGATCCCCATAGGAATAAAGGCTTTATCCCACCCAAAGCTCTACAAAACCTCTGAGCCTCTTAGAACAACATTTATTAAGATTCTCAGAAAAAAAAACAAGTTTGTTTTCTCCATATCCATCATCAACCTTGTAGTCCCTTACCATGTGTAATTGAGAAACCATGTGTAGGTGACACATGTACACAAACCACAATCCTGCCAGCCAGGGCCTTACAGTACAGAAAGAGTTCGTAACAGTTTCTCTTAATTCCTAATGAGGTTTAAGTGGTTCAATCAGTTTTAATCCTATTAATGCTTAAAGGAGAACTATGGGACAACCTTTTTTGCCCATAGTTCTCTACAGTGTAACAGGAGGACATATACTAATGTCCTCCGGTGACCCAAAACTCAGTATATATGCTGACAGCGCAGAGCTGCGTCGCAGCCGGGACAGATCCTGACAGTACTGTCGAGGTCCACCCTGCTGGCTGATTGACAGCTGGCTCTTCCTCTCTAGAAGCAGAGCCAGTGGCACGCCTGCCCCTTGCCCGTTTGTTCCTCCAGTCAGCGATGGAGAAACGGAGAGGGGAGGGGGGACATCTCTGCATGGAGCCGTGACTGTCAGTCTTCTTCTTGCAACACAAGTGCAATTATTTTAGTGCTGTGAAATTCTTCCATATTCGGTTCCAGCTGCTAATTCCTTGAGGCATTATGTCTCCGCTACATTGACCTAAAGGACAATGTAGTGGAGACAACTTATCCTCCCTAGCTTCACCACTGCCACCACCACCCTAGCTTTTTGTGTACCTCATCTTGCTCCCCTGTTTAAAGCATTTCCAATAGAAGACCTATTCAGGCCTGGCCAAGTCTGTGCAGTGAGACCTCATACATTTGTATTGGGCCGCACTGCAAAACTGGAAATGCTCAGAAAGCAAAAGCAACATTTCCGGAATTACCTGGATGCTGGGTTTTCCTACTGTTGCTGAGGAAGCATAATTTTGACCAACAAACTTACTCTGTGTAAATTCGAAATTAAATGAATGGCTATGTATACAACTACTTTGCAGATCTAGAAGGTTTTCTCTGTCATTTAAACGTTACACCTGATTGTGATATTTCACTTATAAATGGAACACGGTGAGCTGACAAACCACCTTATTTTTTTCTTAGATATTGCAGTGGCATAAAAATGCTCGACATTTATTGCATTGTTGGTGGAAACATGCAAGGGACAAATTCTTTATTTGTTCTGGTTGTGAAGCTGTCCAGACTTACAGTATAGATACAGCTAAAAACAGTGATTAGGGTTTACAGAGAATACTGCTGCAATCTAAATGTAGAGAAATATGTACTTTGTTACAGTAGGGCAGTGGAGAAGAGTATTTGCTTAGACTTGAGAACTGACATAAATTTAACAGGATACAGTAGAATGATTTTTAATACTTCTAATCTGCCGCATGTGCAGTATATAGACATGACCATAATGGGCCAAGCTATCTTGCTCCAGCTGAGAAGAAAGACAATCCTTTTGTCCTTGAGACCAAATCAAGATGCTGAACACCTATGAACTGTATTGAAGGTGGCTTGCATTCTGCAAATAATGTAAGATGATTTGAGATGTTAAAGGTTTATTTGTATTTTGACTCAGAAAACATGGTACAGGATATTGTTGTATTGTACAAAGGTGGTTTTATTAAACTAGAAGAAAACTCATTGTAAAGCTGCACTCCAGCCAGATTTAAAAGACTACAATTTAATCCAGTTGTGTATTCTGTTTAAGACATATTACATTTCGGTTAAATGCAGATCGTATAAGTTCTTGAATATTTAATGTATTAGCTTTCCTAGTCCAATCAGGACTCCAAATATTATACATTACTGTCAGCCTGGCACTAGACCCATGCTGATAGGAGACCAATGTGATGGCCTCATCAATGTATTGATGTTTCTCCATTGTGGAGGCTGGGTGTGCGTTGCTGACCAAAATGTATTATGTGACTGTAGGGGAGAAAAGTGATCTGGCTCTGCTGCCTGGCGTGAATCACAAAGTTGGCCAAACTACATTACAAGTCTTTTGGCAGTTTTAAAAACCATCTCCGGGCAAAATAGAATTTGAGGGTACAGTTAGAGTTAAATAGTACTAGAAAACAACTGGGCCTCAAATGTGATTAAAGTGCAATATGGCTGATCACATTGCATAAGTATACAGAAAAGTGACATTTTGGAGGGAACATTTGTTTTTCCTGTTATATGTTCAAAATATGTGCCTTTAAATTATAGCTGTATAATTAGCAAACAAAATCTAAGTTATTATAAGACCAATATCCTGCCTTGCAAAAATAAATTAACCTCTACATGATCAGAGTTCATTGATGCCTAGATGTCCAGGCCAAATGTAGCAGTGTCTGCATGTGTCACTTAACTTGATAATAACTATTTGACTACTTTGCATACCTAAATAATGTTTAGATTTTTTAAAATACATATATGTGGCTTTTATTTGGTACACATCTTGTTTTGTTTTTGTTTTTTACCTTTATTTTTATACGCTGACAAATATATAGAATGTTTAAAAAAAACTCTCTTTTTTATTCATTCATTTTCATGTTTTCAGATGAACAATGCAGTCTGAAGGCAGCAGTGGTCAATTACAAGGTCAAACTAGAATTTTTCTTATTGACACCTCCAGTTTACATGTGATCACTATGGGGTCTATTCACAAAGCTGCCGAGGGCAGCCGAGTGAATGACCGATCAGAAGTGAAGTGAGCCGAACACTGTTCGGCTATTCACTTCAGGCTGGTACGGCTGATTTCAGCATCTGGATCGGCTGAGCCTAACCTCCGGCAGGCTTCTCACTGCTGTTCGGGCTATTCTGAAAGATCCCGAACAGCAGTGAGAGAATAGCCGAATGCTGCCCTCTGTACCCGCATTGTACCCGCCCTCTGCGCATGGACCTGATGGGGAACTGAAAAAGAGGGCGGGTACAATGCTAGTTTACTATTGGCTATTGAAATTGAAATAGCCAATAGTAATGTCCCAATGCTTTTGAATGGGAATTTTTTTTTTTTTTTCTCTATTCTGACATGCTCGTGTCAGAATAAAGAAAAAAGACACAGCGGGGTTTCTCTCCTTGGCGGCCGGGAGCAGGAGACTCCCGGGGCGCCAGGGAGAGTTAGATGTTTGGAGATCAGTGTCCCTGGTTAGCAACCAGGGACGCTGATCTCTCTGAAAGTGGCCGGAGCCAGCCGTAAGATCACGGCTGGCTCCGCCCAGCTGTCAGAAGCAGGCTGTCGGCAGGCCAATGGCCGGCCGCTCGGCCGTGATCGGGAGCTGTACGGGCTATTGTGAATAGCCCGTACAGCACGCCCTCGGTTCTCCTGAACCGAAGGGGTCCTGGGGCCGAAGCCAGCCGAAGGATCGGCCGAAGCTACGGCCAGATCCTTCGGCAGCTTTGTGAATAGACCCCTATGTCATAGCATTGTGAGATTTAGCTTCCAATGGTAGCACATTAAGGACGGATGTCCGCTCGCTTTGACGTCTTTTTATGGACTTATTTGCCCACTTTTATTAATTCACACAAAAAAGTCCACACAGGTGTTTCCCTCGCAGGGGTCTTCAAACATAACGTACAGCAAGATAATATTTTGTCAAGTCTCTCCTGACTCCTGGACAGACACCTCCCTTGTCTTCCAGCTGGAGTCTTGAACCTGACCCAGCATATCCTCATAAGGGCTGTGCACGGGTGTACCATAATTTGGTGCTGGTCACCACTAAAGCCCGGACCCAGGAATGGAGATTTCTTCCCTCCATCTTAGAAATCTCCCGGCTCCAGGATCACAACTATAATCCAGAAAACCTGGAATGAGTTGTAAAACCAGCTCTTTCCTGGTAACAGTACTTTCCTGGAGCGGCTCAGCCCCTCTGGCTGAGAGTCCTGGATGACACTTTTGCTACTCTACATAGTGGCATTGCCACGCACTGCTACAGTATTAATAAAATACAATTTTCCTTCTTTTTCTATCCTGTTTCAACCTCAGTACTGCTTATCTTCTCCAGCCACTTTGCAGCCTCTTTCTGTCTACATGCACTCGTTTCAGTGTCTGCTGCAGATCATTGCCACTTGTAGCCACCACCAAAGGTGCTTGTGACAGGGTTGACATTGCAAGAGCCGTATTGGGAGGTAGTAAGTGTTTCGGCCTGAACAATGACCTTCATAGCAGGATCACAAGCATTCTTTTAATAAATGCTACATATTGAAAGATATAATATCATTTCAATAATTGAATTAGGATCTACTTTAAATATCCACTGACTAGATGCAATGTGTGACCTGTGCACATTGCTACACCCCCAGCACCTCTGATTTTGTTGTAAGTTGTATCCACAAGGCATGTACTTATGGTCTACCTTAGACTATAGTTATTATTTAATGTGTCCAATAACACTGTATATTTGTCTTTTAGCTAAATGAAAAAAGCAAAGAGAACTCTGCGATCACCTCTGAAGTCAACAGCCTTCATCAACAGAATAAGAAGATCAGGGGGGAACTTTCCAGGTTAAAACTCAAGCTGGAACCGGCCAACGCTGACATAAAAAAGCTTCAGCATGGAAACCAAAGTACCAAGCAAGAGGTAACTCAGCTGTAAACATATGCTTACAATTTCTGCATCTCTGATACTTTAAAGCACATTCTCTGTTTGTATAGTTCAAACAAGTGGATGTTTCTACCCAGACCGTTATGTGCTCCTCCATCTGTTATCTAATTAGCAGAGTAAAATGTTATGGGATAGTATGTGAGCTTAAGGACGATGCCTCTTGACTGAAATGATTAAGATTAAATTTCCCGGGGCGTGGTCTACCTATGGCGGCGAGTGGACGCGTGTAACTGAAGCTCCCGAACCATCCCCGAGTTGCTAGTGTATTGTGGACACTTCGCCTAGCTCTCCCTACGCATACCATGAGGAGGAAGACCCAGAAATCGGGTTCCAGCAAGAGAACCAGTGCGGGCTCGCTCAAGCGCATGTGGGCGACGGACTCCCCGCCAGACGGCAGTGCGGCCTTGCACGCGCCCCCGACCTTATCTCCGGCGCGGCCATTACTCTACATAATGGCACGAGACAGGGATGTCCCCTATCTCCCCTCCTATTTGCTATCTCACTAGAACCGCTGTTGGCCACCATAAGGGGCAACCCAGACATCCAGGGTGTGCAAACACCGGCAGGCGAATTTAAACTGGCGGCATACGCAGACGATATCTTGTTCTATGTCCGAAACCCACGAATATCCCTACCCCAAATTTTGACAGCACTCAACGAATACGGCTCCCTTACCAACTTCAAAATCAACATGGGGAAATCAGAGATCCTTAATTTAACGCTACCGCAGGACGAAAGCAAAGCACTCCTCCCCCACTTCCCCTTTCAATGGCGCCCCCACTCCCTCAGATACCTAGGCATTCACCTAACTCGCAGACCCCAAGATCTCTTCCGCTATAATTTTATCCCCCTCCTGAACCTGGTAAAAACGGATATGGCCTCCTTTGCGATACGCTCTTTACCCTGGGTAGGCAGGATTAATGCTGTAAAGATGATGATCCTCCCTAAAATTCTGTTCTTGTTCCAGATGCTCCCTATAGCGCTCCCGGGGTCATACTTCAGGACCCTCGCCAGGATAACCTCTACCTATATCTGGCAGCACCGCACTCCTAGGATATCGGGTCGGGTTCTAGCTAGGACCCGTCAGAACGGGGGACTGGCCCTTCCTGATTTCCGACTCTACCATGCAGCTGCCCAGATGGTACGGGTGGTGGACTGGGTGTATGGGGGCCTGGGAAAGAGTTGGGTGCCCTTGGAGACTGCGGCCAGCGGAGCTCCCCTGTCTGAGGTGATCTGGTTACCCCCTAAATGGAGACCTCTGAGCTCGACCACCTTACCTCTGACCGCCTCCACGTTGCGCACCTGGGACCGCTTGCACCGCAGATACCGATGGCCCCACAACTCAATCCTCATGCCCCTGCAGGGCTCTGACTACTTCCCACCGGGGAAGGAAGACGGATCCTTTGCACAATGGACGGACTCCTCTACCCTGAAATTGAGCGATGTATTACAGGGTGATACCTTACTCTCCTTAGCCGACCTGGGGGCCCGCTGGGGAAGGGTGCCCCTGGATTCCTGGAAACACCGCCAGCTATCTCACTTTATAAGTTCTGTACCAAAACCACTCAGAAGACCCCGAGATTTTACTTACTTTTGAAAACCAATAAAACGAAATAAATAAAAAAAAGATTAAATTTCCCTCCTGCAGCGTCAAACGCTTTTCTTCCAAGAGTTGCGTTGCTTAGTCATAAAAGGGATGTTCTAGGGGCAGGGGCATCAAGTTTCCACATTGCCTTTTTAACTGATATGGCGTCTTTAATGACTTGTAATTATAACTTTTTGTAAAGTGAAAACACTTTTCTTTTAACTTGTGACCTGCTGTGATTTCGGATCATACTGTGTTTTTGTGTGGAATCATGACTAAATAAGTAAGTTTTCAGACCTCAAATAATGGTAATATTATAATGGAAGACAGAGAAACACATTTAATCACATGAAAAATGAGAAGTGACTTGCGGTAATTTCTTAAAATGTACCTTCTGCACGTCTTTCTCATCCATATCCAAAAGCATGGTAGTAATTAACGAACAGAGAGGATGGAATCCTATTCTAGGTTCATTTTGTGCAGCGCTACTTAGAAAAGAAATTGCCCGTTCACCATATGGCACCTATGGTGTGTGTCTGACCCTATTTTTGGTTTCTTTGATTTGTGGTATGCAAATTATTATTTTTTATTACGTTTACCAAGGTATTGATATTTATTTTTAATTCATTATATTTAGTTCTAGCTATTACTCTTGCAGAGCAAAGTCTAACTAGTCTGCTGAATAGTCATACTAAGTACTCAGCCGTAAATGTTCCATTTCTGCTATTTTATCTGCTATCCTTTTTATCTGCACAATTTAAGGGAGGATTCATACTTTCACACACATCACAAGGTGCATTGTATATACTGTACAATGTGTTGGATTTCCATGAATGTGCATGAATCTATATATATATATATATATATTTATTATGGCACTTCATGGCAGCACATGATGAGCATTAACCTATCGTGTGCTGCCATGAAGATGCACAGGGAAAGGAAGATTATGGAAAGGTAAGTATACAATCGTTTGTTTTCCTGGCACATCATGGCAGCACATGATGGGTTAATGCTCATCGTGTGCTGCCATGAAGATGCGCCAGGAAAGGAAGATTACAAAAGGTAAGTAAACAATCTTCCGTTATATATTCTTTAGTGCACCGCAATGCATAGATGTAAATGCACTGTGCTTTGTGGTTCACTGCATTGGCAAAAATTTACAGACACTTGTTAAGGGCCTATTCAAAGTGAATGGACTGGTTTAAAATACAACTGAATTTTTTTTTTTACTTACCTCACTGCCTCACTGAGCCAAATCTTCCTTTATTTGTGTCTCACACTCTCACCCTTTCAAACACTGCAGCTTACACTGGGAGGCTTTCAGCATCAGAGACAGTACTATCAATCCATAAAGTGTGGGTAGGAGTGGGTGTGGCGAGGCACTGATTGACAAGTTGTGACAGTGCTCTTGGATATCCTGTGATGTACAACATATATCTATACTATATATA